CTATATTGTACAGAGCACAGAGATCAAGAAAGGTCCTTGTGTTAAAATGGGGTCTTTTCCATAATGTGTACATCCAATGTAGTAGTAAGAATAGACTTGAAATACCTACTTCCTTTGGTGCCTGTGGAGAATGAAAATACCTCTCTCTCATCTTTCTCCTTGGAACAGCTCTTAAATATGTCAAGAGAACTGAGTGAGTTGAAGAAAAACCTTAAGGATGCTACTGCTGCAATCGCAACTGAGCCTCTGACGACAGAATCTGAGCCTACATTCAACTCTACGGAAGCAGCTATTCAGTCCATGCTAGAGTGTTTGAAAAACAATGAACTTGTTAAAGCCATCCGACAAATAAGAGAATGCAGGCAAGTTTTGCTACATGGCTCATATTAGACTTTCATGTTAATAGAATAGCATGCATTTATTATCTTCCTAACTTTATACTAAATGTAATGTGCTGAGTCAGCATAATTAATTTAATATATTTCAACAAGGTACATGGGGGCATTGATATTATTAACTTTTGCAGGGGTGTGCCACAAGTAACAATATCAAATCGGTAACACAAACATGTATGCTTGCAACAAAGAAGACGTTTAATTACATTGCGTAGATCAAAAGTACTTGTGTGAGGCTCTTAAGAATCTTTTTATAGAGCTAATTCCTTACAGGTGTATGTCACTGGCATCAGCTAACATTCAGCCCAGTTTCACTTTCACTTATTTGAATGAGTTTTCTTAAGCTTTTTTTTTAGATAATAGGAATTGCGCTTTTACGTGATTTCTGTGCCTGATTCCAGAGTCTGAGTAACAAATGAGTAGCGTAAAACAGTGAGTTGCTTTTGGCTTATAAGCGTATGCGAGTCAGTTCTCCTTTTAGAGATCTCTATTACCTAGTTTCCGTCTGTGCTGATAAACCCATAATGATACGCACATTCTTCTCCTGTTTGATTGCAGGATTTTGTGGCCCAATGATATCTTTGGAAGTAGCTCTGACGATGAAGTCCAGACACTACTGAACATTTACTTCCGGCACCAAACCTTGGGTCAGACGGGCACCTATGCACTGGTGGGCTCCAACCAGAGCCTGACTGAAATCTGTACCAAATTAATGGAACTGAATATAGAGATCCGCGACATGATTCGCAGAGCTCAGAGTTACCGGGTCATCAATACTTTTCTTCCAGACTCCAGCATTTCTGGCACAAGTCTCTGACAGGACCCTTGTGTCCTCTATCAAGCTGGGAGTGCTGCCCTGTTGGAGTGAGGTGGCTCAATGTCTTCTCAGCCTTACAAAGGTTTGGTCAAACTGTACTCACTCTTGTTACATTTAGGATTTCTTCTAAAAAGATATGGGCTGAACTTCAAATGTGTAGCAATACTGTAAGGACAAAGGTAGCATAGAGCATCTGGGACAACATCCTTTGTTCTCTGTTGCACAAAAATCAGTTAGCATTTCACTGAGTAACTGCAACTCACTACTGAAGAAGTGACTTCCATTGCATACCAAAGCCTACTACACTGAACAATGCTTCCTTTATAGCAAATTCATTTTAGGTTGGCAAAAGTGCAATGTTTCCTTCACAAAATAATATTTTTTGTTAAAAAAAAACCCAAAACTTGTACATTTTTTCCTTTTTTCTCTTATTTGGTTGAGTGAAAGATGGGCAGAATGAAGCTGGCCACAGAATCTCGCAAACTTGTTGGTCAAAAGCTGAGAGCCTGTGTATATGAATCCAATTGTAAATGGACTACAGTTTAATGTACACTGTAATTTGAATATGATTACTGTATCTTAAAACAACGAGCTGCTATGAAGTACATTTCCTAATGTTACTAGGCTACTGTCTCTGAAGGTACTGGATCATATTGCAGAGGTCTGTTCTTAGGCCCCAAGCATCATGAATGGTCTTGGTAGATTTTCTTTTTTTTTTTAAAGGACTTTGGCTGCTTTTTACTAGAGGGTTGCTTTTATGACTATATTTATACTATTAAAGGATGGTTGATCTAATTTAACTTGCCATTTTGTAGGAGAAAGTCCCATCACAGAGTCAAATCTTTTGAAATGTTATGCATGCATATTTTTATTTAATATAAATTTTGAGTATAAAAAGTAAAAATAACGTGAAATGCAAGTTCTCATGATAAGTTTCTTTAAGGAGATGTCTTATTTTATTTGTAATGTATATATAAAAGTCATACCTGTATGGTTTTTTCTTACATTTAACTGTTGTCCAATGTTAAATGTATGCATGTAAATCTGTTGCATATCTGAGACACTTTTATTCTGACAACTATGTAACTTATTCACTCTGTAAATACACTTACCGTTTTTGTGAAGTAACTTTGGTCGATATTTGGATCAGTACATCCATTTAACTAAAATATAAAAGTCATATATAATCACAACAGAGTATGTGCTTGTTGTGAAGATTGTGTTCTTGTCTGAATCTATACTGTTGAGGATGGTATCCATGATCAGCCCCCAAAAGACACCTTTTTCATCGTTTATGGTATTCATTATACTGAAAGAAACCACTGAGAAATAGAAGGATTTTTTTTGTCAGTCTGTAGTTACAAATCAACCAGGAAGAGTACATTGACCAAAGCGGTTCCATAAATGAAAAAAATCCAAAATGGAGCTGAAGGTTTGTTTCTGTTTAAAACATCAGTAATGGTCCTATTCGTTCCAGCGTTGGGTTTCAGTGGTTTTTTTTCTCATGCTAAAGGTAAAAGAAAAGCTGTCCAGCCTGCCGTATCAGCCTCGACTCTGAGAATCCCGTAAAGCCCTCTTCCCTTCACCCCTTTTTCATTTTCAAAATGCTTCCACAATTTTACGCAGATTTTGAAAAACACTTGATGCATAAAAGGGGTGGAATCGACTTCTTTTACAGGTTTTCTGATTTTGCAGTCAGAGTTCTGCAGCATAGTTGTAGTTGCAGGACAAAATAGATGCAAGGCAAATAATTTCCAAAATAAATGCCATTCATCACACAGCTATTTTTCTGAGTAAAATAATCCGCAATGGTTAGAGCAGTGTTCAAATTTCAGTTAGGTACTTCCCTTTCAAAAGCTATTCAGAACTGTAACTGGGGTGGTCTGCAAAAATATTTAGTGGTTGGTGAAAGATGAGATCTGTTCTATCACTTGGCAAAATCATGAGTATTTCACAGATGACAGAATCACAGGAAAATTCAGGTTGGAAGGGACCTGAGGAGGTCATCTAGTCCAACCTCCGCTTTGAAGCAAGGTCAACCATGAGATCAGATCAGGTTACTCAGGCCTTTATCCAGTCAGGTCTTGAAAACATTCAAGGATGGAGAGTGTACAGCCTCCCTGGACAACCTGATCTTCTTGACTGTCCTCATGGTGGAAAAGCTTTTCCTTTATCCAGTCTGAACCTATCTTGTTTTATCTTATGCATGTTGTCTCTTATCCCCCTACCATGAGCCACATTGAAGGGCCTGGCTCCATCTTTCTTCAGTAACCATAACCTAGCAAGCTACTGTTCAGTCCCCCTGAAGTCTTTGCTTCTTCAGACTGAATAAGCCCAGTTCCTTCAATGTCTCCTCACAGAGCAAGTGCTCCAGCCCTGTGACCAGTTTCGTGGCCTCCACTGAACTCCTTACAGTTGATCAACATCTTTCTAATCTAGAGAGCCCCAAACTGGATACAGTAATGTAGATGTCATCTAGTGAGGGGTGCGTAAAGGGGGACAATCGCTTCCCCTGCTCCGCTGGCTCTGCTTCTCTTCATACAGCCCGGGATGTTGTTGCCACCCTTTGCTGCCAGGGCCCAGTACTGGCTCCACACCCAGCTCACTGCCAACCAAACCCCAAGGGCGCTTTCAGAGGAGCTGCCCCCCAGCCAGGCAGTCCCCTGTCTGTGTTACTGCAAAGGGTTCTCCCCATCCAGGGGTAGGAATTTCCTCTTGTCCCTGCTGAATGTCACAAGGCTCCTGTTGGCCCATCCCTCCAGATGGCCACACTGCCCACAGATATATTGGCTGGTCCCCCAGTTTGGTGTCACCTGCAAACTTGACAAGTATACTCTGTTACCTCTTCCAGGTCACTGGTAAAGATGTTGAACAGGATGGGTCTCAGGACAGACCACCTGCTGTAGGCCACTTGTTACTATCCTGCAGGTAGAGTACAATCCATTAACCACTACCTTGAGCAACTTGATTCAATTGGTCCTCCACTGAGTATGAAGACCTCCAGAGGTTCCTTCCACCCTAAAGTATTCTATGATTCTTCACAGATACAACAAAACCCATGATGTAACCATCTAACTTCCTTAGCATCAATTTCTAAACTTCAGGTAGAGTAGAAATCAGTATATTCCCAACAAAGCCTCGCTGAAATCCTAGGACAACACAAACTGCAGTAATGCCCCACTGTGCCTCTACACCACCAGTACTTTAATTTAATTTTGTCTCCATGAAAGCACATTTAGTTACTCCCTTCAGTTATATTTAAGGCACCTACTCTAGAGATACCTCACATGACTGGAAAGCTTCTGAGGCACAAGCCTGTATTTGAATCAGGGACTTGTTCTACCTCTTTGGGGACACAGTAAGTCTAGAGAATTTGTTACACTCCATCACAGATACCCCAGCTCAAAAGGTTTTTCCCTTCCTCACTTGGAAAAACATGTGAAGCTTACACTTCTCCCACATATCTTACAGACATAGTCTTCAGGCATATAGTCATTGATTATCAAACTGCTGTGATTTCTTTTTTTTTTTTAATACATTTGACCAAGGCAGTGGGAAGAGAGACTTGCAGATGCATTTACCCCAGACTTTATGCTCCAGAACATCTGCATCTTCCACACTAGTTCAGTTTGAGTGACTGAAGGAAAAACTTGCTATTGCAGTTTTAATCTTAGCATTCCCTAAAGGCAGACTAAAAACAAAGCCTGTTTTCTTTAAGAAATTAAATAGGTTCTGTTTCCTTCCAGATGTACTTTCCTCTTTCATCCCAGCAAGATGAAACTAAGGGGTAACAAACTAGTGCAAACTTTTATTGAACTTTACTCACAGCATATATACAATGGAGTTATATATTTTATAAATAATACAAAAGTCTTTATCCATTATCCAATGCCAGGTCAAAAGCCTAAAGTCAAAACATTGCAAGAGATTGACAAAGTGCAAAACAGAAGAGGGCACACGGATCAGACAATGTATTTGAAGCTGTAAGTGTTATCACAGGACAGCCTCTTGCCTTTGCAGCGGCCACAAAGTTCTTGGCGATGAGGTCTCTTGAGATCAATGTGTCTTTTCTTCTGAGGGCAGGAACAACGAGTCTTTGAACAGGTCTTAAGAAAGAAGACATCTTATTAGTAGTAGATCAAAGGTGCTCACTTCATGTTAGATTGACATTTAGTTTTCCTTAATCATAGCAACACATTTGGGCTGATACACTCAAAAGAGCTCTTGTGGTAAAAACCCTGTGGAGTTAAGCTGCAAGAGCCTTCTCACCTAGAAGCACAAAACCCTACCCTATGTGTAGCTAGGCATAACACTGTACGAACAGAAAACCGTTCATGTAAGCCATCTGCACGAGGAGGGAGTCCTATCCCATTACACATTTCCCAAATAACATTTCCTAGTACTTTGATGAAAGCAAGTTCTCTTCCAGATAAAGTCAATATCGAATTCAGCAACTATTAGAGTATATGACAAACTCTGGCAGTCTTACCAGGATACAGAAATCTGTAACTTACCTGGCACTGGATTGCTTCTACTCGATAGGGATTGAAGCCCTTTTGGCATTTGCGACAGAGCTGCTTGAAGTACACCTGAAAAAAAAGCAAGTTCTCAGTTACTATAGAGACTTCCTCAAGGTGTTCAGTACAGGTACCTAAATTTGTGCCAAAACATCTGATTTGTCACAGATTTGGTGCCATTCTTAAAAGTCTCAGGAGCAAGAAATGACTTGTTAACTACCTTGTTGCTTCCAGAAATGCACCACACGTAAGCACTCTCCCATCTGGTCTTGCAGTCTTTACAGTGGAAATAGCCATACTTCTGCTCCAAAAACTGCAGAAAGAAAGTTCCTGAGCAGCCTCCAGCACCACAAGAACACCCAGCCCAGCTCCCTCATTACACCACCTGTTTTCAGAGGCAGGAGGCTCCACTGCTGCAAGGGAGACAGACCTGCCTGGGGCAGGGGGGCGTGCAGACCTGAGCAGGGAGCCAGGGTGGGGACCACCGTGCCTTTTGCTGCTCAAGAGCAGGTTTCTCTCCAACCTGCTTCATGGTTCGCCCCCCACCCCTCTTGCCCAGAGTGGGCTGCACTAGGTGCCAGCCTCTCCTCAGGCCCCGGTGTCCCAGCGCTGCACACCTGGAAGGCAGCCCGCCGTCTGGGGGCTGCAGCCTCCTCCCGCGGCGTCTCTGCCGTCTCCTCACTCGTCAGAGCAGCCTCCGCCTGGCCCTCCTGCTGCTCTCTGCTACCATCCTCCGCCTTCAGCTCCTCGGGGGTCGTTTCAGACGTCTCTTCCTTCTCCTGGGGTCCAGGGGCCTCGGGCAGCGTGAAGAGGCGGCGGTCCGGCACGGGTGAGTAGAGGGCGAGGTGCCCACGGGTGCGGAGGGCAG